TAAAAAAAATTATACGACTGTCGTATGGCGCTCTATGGGATATTCCACTGCATGCAAAAGCTAGATGTCTTGTGAAAGCGCGTTGAATCGATTCAAATCTTTGAGAATTAACAGCGTATATAGGATTCCAGATCTGAGACGCGAACTCTAAAATTGTCCTAACAAGAGCATTGAACAGGTAAAGCTTTGTTATAATCGTAAATCCCTTTGTATTTCCCTTAATGAATCCATTCATTTGAGCTCTTTTGGCATTTATAATGTTAATGTGGGGCACAAACGTTATTTTTTTATCAATGATAACGCCTAAATCTTTAACCTCGGCTACTTCTTTAACTGATTGCCCATAAATTGTGTATGAAGAAGTAATAGGGAGTTTTTGTTTTGAGAATTTGATATGAAAACATTTTTATTAATAAACATAATTATTATTATTCTTATTCCGATCCCTTGTCGTATGTATGTTTATTAATTTAAAATGTGCATCAATCTGTACTTGCATTTACTTAATTAAAGTGAGCAGCAAGATTATATTCTGATGAAAATAAAATTGAATTTATGTTTGGAAGACGCAAAAAAAATATAGATTCAATTTTATAATATTTTGCAACTTCATAAGTATAATTATATTTTACTTATTAATCTTCTGTATATATAAAAATGGATTGCTGTTCCTTAGTCTCGCTAAAACTCGAGTACAGCTGAACCGATTTGACTAATTTTAGTCTTGAAATACTCCTGGAAGTCCAGGGAAGGTTTAAAAGGTGAGAAAAATTGGAATAATTGCCGGGAAAACCCTAAAAACAGCCCTTTTCTATTTCCCATACAAACGTTTTTTTTGACATTAGATTTGACAACTAACTAATATGTCAATCATTCTGTTTGATTGAAACAGGAAAAACCTGATTATTTATGGCCTCTAAGACGGAATAGAGTTCGCCTGGTCAGCTATACATATATTACTCTTGACCAAACTAACGCGGACGAAGTCGCGGGCAAAAACTAGTAAAGAATATTTTGTTAAATTTTTACTGTTTTATATATAAAAGAAACTAAATTTTTGTGGGTTGTATTTTAATCCCAGAAGATAATTTGTAAAGAAAAAATGTTCTGCAAAACACAACATACTGTAGAAAAAAAACTTTATTTTTATATAAATCCGTGTAATTTAGAAAAAACCGGAAGTCTTATTTGCCGTTTTCCTTTTACTCTCATACAATATAAAAGTAAAGCCCTTTCATACAATATCCACATTGATAGACTGTCTCCATTGAATTCGGTTTATTAAACAATTGTCTTTTTTATTCACAGTAAAAAGGTTTAATTTAGTAAATATACTATTAATATATATATATTATAGAATATAATCAAAAGATTGCAACACTTCCTTTATATATCTTTGGATATTTCACAATGAGGATATCACACACAATGTTCATTCAGGAACAAAGATTTCTTTTAGGGGAATATATTTTTTTTTTTTTTTTTTTCTACGAGGGGAATCTTTTAAAGACTTCCTGCCGCGGGGGAAACGCGACAGGGGCATGTGGGATTTCCACCCACTAAACCACCTCGACGTTCTCTGCGCTGTGCGTAGACTAGTGAGCGGGAACGGCAAGCCATACTTCCGCTCACTACGCACGAGTCCCGAAAGGGACTCCGCCATCGGCAGGGGTATCAGTGGCTGACCACACCACCCCTCCGACTCAAGAGCAGCGTGCCGGGAACGCCAAACACGCCGCTCTTCCTCTAGCCTATGTTACCCGGACTCCGGTTCCCCACCGACGCCCGGAGGCTTCCTCACTGGGGAGGCAGGTCGCGAGCATAAGCCCGCTGCCTTCGACCCAGCCTTCGTCGGCGCAGCGGCGCCGAGGAGGGGTCGTCTTCCCTCACTCGTTCAGCAGCCTCCTTCTGCAAGATGACTCTCTCGCTGAAGTCGGCCACCGCCTGCCATGCCCTCTCGCTGCCGACCATGGCCTGGACCACTGCCGGCAACGTTAGGGGAATATAATAGTTGATCTGAACTTAACAAGCATGATGTTGCTTTTCAGTCTTTTTATAACACTCATAAATTTCAGTTCTAAAACATTTTTACTTAATAATTGACTTAATCTTTTAGGGACTTTCCAGGAGATAGAATACATGCTGTGGTTGTGTATATATTATAGTTGTAACGTTGAGTATATTAAATGTTTGATATATTTGAGACAGATTACGACGCTAACAAATATGGTTGTCATTATGTAAATACACATTTCCTTCAAATTTAAAGAGGCGCGGTATTATGTATAGCTTTGAAAATAAGCTATATACTTTTAGAGGTTACGTCTTTGCAATAAGTTATTTAAAAGCGAATGTATGAATTTGCTTATTACATTTCATTAGCTAGTAAGTTTAATAATATTTGAGACAGAGCGTCAAATATAATAAAATTAGGTATACTCACCTATATATTGTTATATTTGAAATAAACTGAAAAGGGTAAAACTTTTTAAATTAGTAACATTAACGCATACCTATTACATATATAAAAGAATTCATGAAGAACCAGAAGGTAGTTATATATTTAGAAACTAAGTCAAAACTAAGTTTTTTAAACAGAATTCATTTGAATTTTCATTACGTGAGTAAATAAAGACACCCACTGTCTTTCAATTATGTCATTGATGACTTACTCGTGTAAGTCCTAACGTACATACTAGAAACATGTTGGAAAGATAGACAGACTACAAAATAGCTTCATATACATTTAAACTTTTAATTTGAAATTATTTTTAGAGACTACCGGAATAGGAAAGTTTAAATTTTTGCAGACTACCGAAAAAATTTTATATAAAAACATCTCCTAAGTATATTGTTCTAATTTATTTTAGTTACCAAAATCAGTAAACACAGTTGGCAACCATGGTTTCATTCTTTAAGATATATAATGATTGTGATGTCTTATACGAAATAAACGACAAATTACTCAACACAAAGGTACATATGTTTGTCAAGAGAATGAATGTATATTCAAGGAAAGGTCCTTGTAGGAATAAAAATAAAATTAAATGGGGGTACCTGAAAAACCCTAACTTATTTTAGTATTTATTGTAATAATTTTTTGTCATTAAAGTCTTTAAGTAGATTCGTATAAAGTATAACAGTCTGAAGACAGTTCTCAATTTCTATTCATTACATTCTTAAGAAATAAAAGACAGGCGTCATAACGAAAACTGCGAGATCAAAAGGATTGTACCATGTGATTGATAAGCTTTGTGTGAGAAACAAAATTGTTAGAAAAGTCACACCACCACCCTATACAGTTAGCTACCGTTGGCAAATCTTTATTACAGAGAGCACAACACCTTTGTGATGCTGACCACCTAGAGGCCGAGCTGCAGCATGTAAAACGTGCTCTGACCATCAACAGCCTGCCCGTGCCTCGCCAGCATCGCAAGAACCAGATGAAGCCCCCTACAGTTGAGCGACAACCTGCAATTCTACCATATGTAAAGGGAGTTACTGACAGAATAGGCAACATCTTGAAGAAGGTTTCAATCAAGACTATTTATAAACCACATAAGAAAGTGAGCCAATTCTTGAGACCAATCAAGAGTAACATTCCTTTACAACAAGCGAGTGTATATAAACTTGATTGTGACTGTGGCTTGTCATACAACGGACAAACAAAGAGAAGCATCGGTACAAGGGTTAAGGAACACATTTCAGACGTCAGGAATAGGCGCACGTCGAAGTCAGCAGTGTGTGAACATGCATTGGACAAACCAGGCCATTACATTAGATTTGATAAACCACATATCCTCGCTCGCAAAGACAGATACATATATACCAAGGTTAATCCGCGAGGCTATTGAAATTTAAAAAAAACACCCCAATTTCAATAGAGAAGATGGCTGGAACCTATCAAACACCTGGGATCCTCTTCTTAAAAATATAAAATCCCATGTCCGTGACCACACCGCGGGACCTCGAGACACCGCGAGCGCATTCTGCCGGCATCCAGAGCGGTACGCAAGAAAATTAAGAAATCGATGGCAGTAGGTGATAAAATAACAAGACCGACTGACTAACACTCACATCTCGTCTGCCCGTGATCACTGTTGCTGAAAAGTAATCGAAACGTCGGGAGTATGTAGTTTCTAATCAAAAATAAAACGCGAAGTATAATCCGAAAATATTATTTTTAAATGAGTACTCGCGAAAATCTTAGATCTCATTATTTTGTTAGAAAAGTACAAGGTGACGGATGACTCATCTTCCTTTGTCAACGTCGAAATGCCAAAGTATAATTGCCCTCACAATATAATAAACAACATTTACTTAAATTATTTCCTTTTCCTAGGAAATTAAACTCATTACAAGACTATATTTGATTTGACTAAAGTATGAATTAGCAGTCGATTTCTAGAAAAGTTAATGAATCGGCTCGAATTAATATCATTTTAAAATAAAGTACATTTAATAAGAATGTATACCATCATCCTACCTACAACTGCAAAGTTATTAGATACCTAGTTATTTATATAAAAAAAGTGCTAAAGGTTTAAAAGTAAACTGCTAGTATTAGAGTCAACGACGTAGATTTTTACAATTTAAATATTTTTTAAATAAAAGCCTTTTCTTTTAAGGTATATAAAACCTACATCCTTTTTCAATAACCAAACTATTAAAAATCCTTTTGGCAGTAAGATTAGGATTATTGCTTTTTTAGGTTATAAAAACATCAAATCCAAAATTGGCGGCCATTAGATATTGCTTTATAGGAGACTATTTTGTTGAGTTGTTTTTCCCACGGCAACTACATACATATAACTTCTCTATTAAATATGTAACCTCCGGAAAATTAACAGATTGAAATATGTTTACTCAAATATGGTCTCGAAGAAATAAAAAATAATTTAATTCAACAAGTATGAAGGGTGTGTAAATGTGTAAATTCTATATAAATTGTAAGTAAACTATGTTTATATTATTTTTGAAAACGTTCTGCTACAACGGCGTTGGATGATGAAAATGAAAAGAAATACCGCGAAACACTGACAGCATTACGTACGGCGCGATCCCTTAACGAGGAAATGGAGCGCCTTAAGCAAGAGAACGGTAATGACATCGTTAATGGCTATGTTGTCGTGTTTTTAGGTTAATTGTGCTTACCATTTAATTTTACTACTTAGTTCATATAAATGAATTATCCTACTACTAATATAAAGGCAAAAGTTTGTAAGTATGGATGTATGGATGTATGGATGTATGTGTGTTTGTTACTCTTTCACGTAAAAACTACTGAATGGATTTGAATGAAACTTTACCACAATATAGCTTATACATCAGAATAACAGATAGGTTATAGCTTATACATCAGAATAACACATAGGTTACAATTTTTGAGGTTTCTAATGTGAGGTCGTAAAAAAACACATTTTTTGCGCTGACATTGCAAACGCTGACTGAATCCTACAAGATAGATCAAAACAATGTACTACAGTATTGTACAACCTAAAAAGGTCCACAAAAGAGTCCGTGATGGTATATGTTTATCTCTTTATTTTAAAAATATATTTCGTTCTTTCAAAGGTTTTTTAAAAGGTTCTTTCAAAGGTATTTTAATTTTTTTTTCCTACTTGTACTTTTGCTTCCAAAACTATTTTGAAGAGGATCTGCAATAGAAAATATAGTAATTTATTCATAAATGACTTGAAAATGTGTTCAGAACGAATTTTTGATCCTATGTCTACAATAATTGCCCAAAACGAATGAAACTCTTGGTGGGTAAATAAATAAATTTTGTTTTAATTTATCAATTCAGCCATCGCATCCCTCAATCAGAAGATGATGAAAACTATATTGACACTGGCGCTGCCATTTTAAACTTCTATTGTACTACATTGGTTGATCTCCTGGGAAGGTGTGCTCCTGATGCTGCTGTTATAGCTCTTGTGACTATTGACTTATTATATAACAAATAAGGAATTAAACAAAACATCGATTATGAGAAAAGAACTTTGTATATGTCGGCGCATTTGTAATTTTAGAGACTATATTTACTATTCTTACGATATATATAAGTGACAGTCCGCTTGACTTAACTCGGGGGACTGGCGGTATCGTGCTTTGATTAATAACGAATTAATAATGATGAATTATTATCCCGCTCGTATGAGGTGCATTAGTTTTTGTGTTTAGTTAATGGTAATGTGTGTTAATTAATTATTTAAATTATTTCAAAGTCAAGAGTTAATTATTTTCACCTCGCTCGTTAATTTACGCCACTATGGAACAAGAAAATAATTCTATTAAGGGTCAATTTCCTATATATAATTTCATTTTAATTTTTTTATTTATAAACCAGGGTAAGAATGAATCACACCGAGCCCGAGCCATTCTTCGTTCGCTGGTACCACTCGGAGATCTTCAAGGAGTACTCAGCCTTCGATTTACGCTCAACAACCCTGCTGCTGATGAGGAAAGGCAAAGGTCTGGTGAGTATTGAATTTATTTTATATATTTTTAGCGTCAAACGTGGAATTGTATTTAAAAAAATTGAATCGAGTTCACCTAAAGAGAGTTTAACTAACAAATCAAACAATAAGCAAATTAAAAACGTATTTTAAATACAAAAACAAAATTACTCACGTGTACCTAGTTTCGATTCATCTCCAACGAGCGCCACCAAGCATAGACGGTCAGCTCTAACCAAACTTCTCATAAATTTACTCGGTACCATTTTTTAATAAAATTGTTATATATAAATATGTAGTTTAAGAGAATGAGATATTTTTACAATGTTGATATTTCTTATGTTCTAGATATGCCATCGGGGTTAATACCTGGTCACAAACAGAGTGTTGGTCTGTTCTTGGAGCGGGTGTACGGTATCGAAACTCAGGAGTTGTTCTATCGATTATTAGAAGAAGCATTCTTACCGGACTTACGAGTTGCTACTATGTTGGATAGGGTAAGATTTTTTACCTTTATAATAAATACGAAACGTTAGTTGAGAGTTTCATGCCGTTTACAAAATTTAGCAAATATAAAATGAAAAAACTGTTGATTTCTTGAAGAAGGTTGGAAGGCTTCGAGAGAATAAAAACATAAGTGTATCAAAATAATTTTTTGGCATCTTTTGTTTGAATGTTCATATCGAGTTTTTTTTTCAGAACGATGGTTGTGAGTCTGACATGGCACTGTCTATGAACCGCTACATCGGTAACTCCATTCTGCCGCTTCTTATCAAACACGCCAACTTCTACAACGAAGCTGAGAATTACGCTAGCTTATTGGACGCTACTTTACACACAGTTTATAGGTAATGTTTTAAAAAACTCATCATTTATTTGTCCCTATGCGCTATATTTAAAAAACGACTTGACCAATTAAATTTTTTAATAAATATTTAAAACAAAATTGTATTAAATGATTTTAAATTTAAAAAAACTCAAACTGTTTTATCCTAAAAAAAATATTCATCCACTTCAAATTTTAAGTCTTTTAAGATCCAAAATAAAAAAATCATGACTGTTTATAAACATATCTTCAGTTTTTTTTCTTCTTGAGTGAGAATATCTACAAAAAAATATTTACATATTGAACAATATCTTATCATAATATTTGTGTAATACTAAATGAGTTTTCATTTAAATCAGGTTATCCAAGAACAGGATGCTTACCAAGGGTCAACGTGAAGCGGTTTCAGACTTCCTTGTAGCATTGACAGCGGCTATGCAACCTTCAATGTTATTGAAACTTTTGAGAGAACTCACTGTTGATGTGTCGAGATTATCAGAATATACAACTGTTGCGCTACGGGTATGACTAAAATATATATGACCCATTTTTACATACACAGACTATCACAATTTGTTCTTAGCACTGTCCTTATACTCAACATTCGTAAAATTACTCAATATAAGCAGTGTAACAGTAGAATCTTTCAAAGTTTTTACTAAAAACCTCTCACCTCTATTAAAACAAATGCATTATTCAATAAATTTATACATATATATATTTAACAACGTTTTTATAGTACTCACGTCTTAATAATGAGTTATGTCTGTTCTATCTCTTCCTATAACTAATTAGAAAACATAACATTTCTTGTCACATCAATGCATCTTATCAAATGCAGACAACTTTCTTTATGACTTAACTTAAATAAAAATAAAAGCATTTAATTATCATACATATATATTTGCTTTATGATTCTTAGCTGTTCACTCTGCACTACGAACGTTGCGCTAAATACTACGGTAGTACCGGCGGCCAGGGTCTATATGGAGCATCGTCTGATGAGGAAAAACGTCTCACTATGATGCTGTTCTCAAACATTTTTGACTACCTCAGCAAAATGGACTACGAACCTGAACTATTTGAGAAAACCTTACCATGTCTCGTTGCTATTGGTTAGTGGAATATTATATTTAAAATACTTCTGATAGTTATTTCTCATATAATGATATTTAAGGTTTTTTTTTCGTGTAGTCGTTTAAATGGTACTAATGTTTTTAGATATACATAACTATATATTCGTTTATTTATAAGTTTATAAGAAGTGTTTATAAAATATAATCATATTTAAAAAACTTTACTAATCTTAACCTACTTCAGCTACGTTTTAGTCTTTTCATAGAAAAACTTTGTTTTATTTTTTCAGGATGCGCTCTACCACCCGATTACTGTTTATCTAAGAATTACGATGACGAGTTTTACGGAAAAGAAACACAACATACCACAGGCAAAGATTTTATACAATTTAAATAAATCAAAGTAAAGTTTCAAAGATTTACTTAAATTATACATTTATTTACAGGTGCTGATAATCCTCAATACGATCCCCAATCTATAAACACTTCTTCAGTGGCACTCAATAATGATCTCAACACAATCGTGCAGAAGTTTTCTGAACATAACCACGACGCTTGGGCTTCAAGGTGAAAAATGACCTAATGCTTTATATCCCATTGGTTCTACAATTTAAAAAGAATGAGGCAAATTCTTAAGGAATTAATTTTTTATTTAACTGAATTATCTCTGCTCAGGTCACTTTTTACTTTAATATAATTGGAATTTTTATGTTTTTTGTAATCGTAAATTAATGTAACTACATATTTAAATTAGGACAAAATACTCTTAAATGCTTTAAAATGTGTGTAAACGTTCAGTTAACCTTCACTTGGTTCGTTTATAAGGTGTAACTTAACCTGCCAGTTATTTTTTGATCAGAATTGTAACTGTAATCAAAATATATCTGCTTTTTTTCTTGTAGAAAAATTGAAAATGGTTGGGTGTATGCAGAGTCCTGGTCGGACAGCCAAAAAAGTCATCCAAGACTCAAACCTTATAATATGTTGAATGATTACGTAAGTTATTTAATATTATATTACGGAAAACTCACGTCATTAGAACTTATAATGAATTTTATATTTTCTTACAGTTAAATAATTTCTGTAACAAAATAAACACATCTGTTGCTAACAAGAAATCTGATATATACGTATTTGTTTAGCTATTCCAAATAGACTTTAATCCAAAGTTGTTTTAAAAATGGTCTTCTTCTACCTTGTTTAAAAAATAGTAACAGTTTAAAACAATAGTTTTTGTATAAAATAAAGTAAGTTTTTATTATAATTTTTGCAAATAATACCTGTACTAGACAAAGGCCTTTCATAACATCGAAAGATCTTAAACATTTTTCATTATTTTTTTATCAAAACTCCTTTACTGTGTAAGGGTTTTTGATGTTTCTTTAAAGTACATTTCAAAAGGAGCTCGAGGTAAATAAAATATATAATTTTAGGAGGGAATCAAAGAATTTCAAGCTTCACATCATTTATTCACTCGAATAATAAGTTTTTCTTCGAAAAAATTTTCAAATATTTGAATGTGGAATTACTTAAATTATAACTATCTAAATAAAGGTAAATAAAAACATCATATAGTAATGTATTGAATACAACTCTTTCAATTTATGAAACTGAAATAAAATATGAAAACTATACATAACTCATACCATTTCAAATATTTCATACATGTAATATATTGGAACAATTGATATTTCTATTCATTTTAATCAAAAACATAATTAAAAATCTTAATTCTAATACTAATGAAATTTTTTGTTACAATATTTTTCCATGTTAAATTGTTTTAAAATATTATGTTTAAAGAGATTTTATGGTTTACGGTACACTGCCTTGTGTTATTTCTTAAAATTTAATGCTTTTTGACTTTCATTTCTTTACAGTATCTTGAAAAACGTGCTTCTTTCAAACGTTATTCTATGAAATTATTGTCGCTCATTAACTATGAAACGGACGGAAAAATTGTTTGAAAAAAAAAAAGATTCTTTTAAAAATGTTGGATATTAACAGCTAAATTACCTGCCTTAAAATTAATTAATAAAATCATGAGATATAATGAAGTTTTGGAATTTAACAAAATAATTCATAATAATAAATAAGTTTTAAACAAATCATTTTGAATTGTTTAGATCACGATAATTTATATTTTAAAAAGCCAAATTGGTATTTTTTAAATATATTTATTCTATGAACTTTCCTTTAAAAATACCGTTGCATTCGAATTGACTATTTGACCCAAAATAATAACTTTTCTTATTCAAAATGTTATTAGGTAAAAAGTTTCTTAAAGAAGCTGACATCTTAAAGAAATAAAATAAATTATGAATCTTATGAATATAAATTAAATAAAAAATATATTTAGCATACCACTGTAATAAAAAACGCCAGAATAACGAATTGGATATATGTAGGTACATCATCATCACCTTAGCATTTATCCCGGTCGCTCGTCCCGCCCAGGGCGGGAGAACTCAGGGTCCGCTTTCCTGCTCAGTCTCCTCCACTTTTCCCGGTTTTCGGCATCCTTTTTAACGAGTCCATTGGCACGCATGTCATCTAGCACGACATCAAGCCAACGTTTTTATAAATATTTTTTTACAAATTGGATATATGTACATGTACCGACAAAAATCGAATATGATGTGAAGAAGCGAGCAATCGATTTGAGTATATTATAAACTAGCTGTTACACGCATTTAAAATGTCATTAATGGCCTAGTGGTTGAAAGGCCCGCCTTTCATTCACGAAGGCATGGCTTCGATCCTGGCAAGTACAAATGTGATTTTACCTAGTCATATGTAACTACTTTCTAAGAGTATTTAAGACACCACTGACCAACGGGAAACATCGTGAGGAAACCTGGACTTATAATATCACAATTATAAGTTTGAAATCTTCGACCCGTGTTGAGCAAGCGTGATGATTAATGTAAACCTTTTTCACATGAGAAGAATGAATAATCTTTCAAGTGTTGCATGCGCCCCGCCTCCCACTGACGCGTGATAACGTTTAATTTCGAGTTCGGGATAATATAATTGACTAAGTTTCTCTTTATTACATCAGCTACTTGCCAATAAAATTACCGTTAAAATTGGTCCAGCCATTTCAGAGATTATACGGAACAAACCGAGAGATAGATAGAAAAAATAAAAATGTTATTTTTATTTTTAGGCGTGTAATAGGCGTGTAATAACTACAATTATTTCAGTATCGCACACAGACACCCCAATTTCATTTATATGTATAGATAATTAAAATCTATAACTTTAATTTTGAAGTCTTACGTACTATTGCTAAAAATACTTATTTATTACCTACTAGCTGACCCGGCAGACTTCGTACTGCCTCAATTTAGAAATAAATTATGTCTTATTTATTTTTTTGGTGTTTATCTTTAAGCCATAAATCTCCGTGTTCTGAAGTGCGACAAAATGATTGACATATTAGTTAGTTGTCAAATCTAATGTCAAAAAACCGTTTGTATGGGAAATAAAAAAGAGCTTTTTTTAGGGTTTTCCCGGAAATAAATAAAAAAATTTCAGCTTTTAAATCTTCCCTGAACCTCCACAAACATTTCAAGACTATGATAAAATAAATCCGTTCAGTCGTTCTCGAGTTTTAGTGAGACCAAGGAACAGCAATTTATTTTTATATATATAGATTATTCACTAGTTATAATAATTAACCGTCTTCGATATGATGAGACATTTAGGAACATAACATTTTTTTCATAATACTGTAACCCGAGATATCTGTAATATTCTGTTTTCACTACGCAATGTCATTTGGCATACTAAATAGCTCTTATATTAAGTAACAAAAATTAACAAAAAAATTCTATTTATACAACACGAACAAATTACTAATAATCATTGTTTTAACACTTATCAACACTTATGTATTAATTTGTAAGCTTTATTTAATATATATTCCTATTAATGACAGGAATATAAAAAAAACATAATTATACATATATGTTTCATTTAAAAATAAATAAATAAAAAACTGTGGTACAGAAAATATTTTTAAAACTAATAACTGTAAGTTTCTTCTAATCAGGATTTAATTATTAAACTGCATATAGTTATTGTACCAAAAAAAATACAGCTTAAATGTCTATATAAAATAAATGAGTGAAACTGCATAAAAGTTTACAATCCCCAAAAGAGTTTCGACAGCCTGAGTATGTAGAATATTATGGATAAAGTCATTTAGTCCATTTCAATTTTAATTATTTATTTACTTATCTAAGAAACACCATCGGTATATATGTAAATAATAAAAATGTAAAATAATTAATTACACATTAATAAATAAAATAAATAGCAATTGAAAAATACACTAACATATTAATATAAATAAAAAAGACTATTTTTAAAAAAGTAAGAAAAATTAAAATGAACCATTAAAACAAAATAATGTATTTCCAAGAAATTAAAATAAGACGATAACAAATAAAATACTTACTTTCTAAGAATACATATGTACTTTCTAAGAATATTTAGACATCACTGATTAATGCTGATTCCCAAAAGAGGGTTGATGTCAAGCAGGCGGCCGGTCGTAAAAAAAAAACAATTAGCCAAAACTATTCACAAACATGTAAGGCAGACCCTGGCTATAGCCGGGAAATTGCCAGGTAGAAGAAGAAGAAATAAAATACTTACTTATAAACTTACGAGTTTAACTACTTAACTAACATGCTTACCAACTTTTTAAAATACTTACTGTTTTGGTTATATATGTAAGGCGATTGTGTTGTAGCTTCTCATACAGTGGCCAGTGGCAAAAAAAATGTTCTTTTATATTAAATATCGGAATAACAAAAGTATTTTGAATAGGCTGACGCGGAATACTTCTTGGGACATATAATCCAATTTCCAATGCAATTTTTGCGAGTCTATTTTGAATTACATTATGTAAAAACTTTAAATCATTAATATATCTTCGTTCTGCCAAGTTCCGAGCTTATAATGGTTTACTCTAGAATTCTAGTTTGCTAGATAAGGACAACTTTTATCTCTATGAGTCAAAATTATGGTGAAAATGTTTTGATTTTTTTCCAATCGAGTAGTGGGGATATTATACTTAAAAATTAATATATTGTTAATGACAAATAAATAAATATTAAAAAATCAATATATACAATTTTCCAACTGAAATTAAACAAAAAGTAAATACTCCGAAGTTCATGTATTTTTGGAGATTCGTCTCGCACGTATTGCAGACAAAGCAAAAAAAAACGACCTATTGGAATTATAATATGAACATGAATGTCAGAGAAAAACAATTTCTTTTCGAATATTTCTGAGAAGAGTTAATTTCTAGAAATTAATAAATATATTGATTTTATCTTTTATTTTCCATTTCGTATGTACACACTAGTACTGTTGACTTAAATTGTGAATCATCAACTATTTTCCATGAAGTAAAGTGTTGCCCACTGTCCCTTGAGTACTTATATTTTCCTCTCCATTTTTAAATACTGCTGAAATATCTTGAATTATTTTAATAATTAATATACCTTCAGCCTTTTTTATACCGAAATGTATTTGCGATTTCTCTTTGTGGTGGATTGATTATAAGGTTAGATAAAAGATAGTCAAAAAATAGGTAAAAAGTAAGAATACAGTTCAAATTTTACTTAAAAGTAAAATGTTATACTGTTTAATCATACATATTAAATTAAGTAATAAATAGCTTTTTTTATGACACATCTAATCTGGTGGTTTATAAGAATAATTAATTGAAATCTTAAAATCTTGAAACTTTAATTAACAAATTATTCTAGAGAGACATCAACAATGCGATGCAATATGTAATAAAAATGTGGTTGATAGAAATAATATGAACATTCAATTCTTCATTTAATGAGATGTAAGTTTAAAAATTCATAGTTATATTCCAATGAAACTTTTTAATTATTTAATAGACCAAAAACAAAACAAAAGTGTTCTAGGGCTCTAAAGCTTCTCATTTTTACTTATAGAATAAATCGTAAAAACATTACCTTACTTTGAAAAATACTAACGTCATGAACTGTTTCTTTTCCTCTACAGTTGATATCCGTCAATAGGTAACATTTACCAAAAGATTCTCAAATGTCCTCTTAGGGTAAAAATTCAAATTGTCCTTTACTGAAAA